ACGTTTACGGTAACCCCGCCACCTTTCCATTCGACCATTGGGTCCATCAAAGCCCCAATGTCGTCATTGTCACCGTCTATTACCGTCTTTCGTCCTTTGGGTTCCTCGCTATTCCAGAGTTCTCAGACACTGGCAATGGAGACTTCAATGTCGGCTTTCTTGACCAGAGACAGGCTCTTAAATGGGTCAAGCGACATATACGAGCGTTCGGTGGGGATCCGTCGAGGGTAACTATAAATGGGCAAAGCTCGGGAGGGGCCTCGGTGGAGCTGCATCTCGTTGCACATGAAGATAAATCGCTATTCTCTGGTGCTATCATACAGAGCGCTTATAGGACCCCTCTTCCATCTCCTGAGCAGCAGCGAGTGAGTCATCTTATCACCCAATCGCCAGTGCTCTGACTGATGTGTTCATAGCCCTTGTTCGAATTTTATGCCGAGCGAGCCGGATGCGGATCTGGCGGCCTTTCTTCCAAGTTGCAATGCCTTAGAGAAGCTAGCGTGAGCGCTCTTGCTCGCGCTCAAGATGCAGCAGCGAATGGTGAATTGTACGTTCATTTTCTATCACATTGTCAGCTGCCATACTTAGATTTTATCAGTGCTGGTCTTTACAACGCCTTTCACCCTGTCATAGACGGCAAGACCCTCGCCGAATTCCCAACTCTGTCCCTGGGCTTGGGTCATTTTACTCGCGTCCCTCTTATTGTCGGGTGAGCGCTGTCTAAACCTTCTCAAATTCATAAAATCGAACACAAAGCTAGTTCTGATTCTAACGAATCGTATGTTCCGGGTTACGACATACCCTCATCCTTGAAGATTCTATTTCCAGGACTAGACAAACAGGACATGAACGATTATCTCATCGTGAGTAACTCTTGTCCTGGTGGCCCTTTCCAAACTTTAACTTTTAGGCATACCCATCTTCGGATTTCGAATCTGAGGAACAAAGACTAGCCACGGCGACAGGTGAATCTTTGAATCGGTGTTGTGTGAGTACATTCAAATACTTATTGCCCCTTCCACTGAAATACTCTTTCGCAAAAGCGCTCAATACTGGCCAGTGCATATTCCAGTAAAGGGATTAATACGTGGGCCTATCGATACAACCAACCCAATCCAACGAGCGACAATCCTACCATCGTTGGTCACGGGGCAGAGAATTGGATGATGTTTCTAGGCAGCAATACAGGGTGAGCCTCCCCTCCTTCTCTGATCCTCCCTTGACCTGACGCGAGGCGAAGCTACAATGGCTCCGCGACTTTTAGCTCACTGACGCCAGACGAAACAGCCTTCTCGCAGGAACTGATCGCTTATTGGCTTTCCTTCGTACGCGCACAGGATCCGAATACGTTTAGGCTACAACGATCACCCGTTTGGGATCGTTTCTTCGTGGGCGAGAAAAGGCAGATTGTGTTGCAACAGAACACTACGACGATGAGTGGGAGTTATATCGAGCTTACTGATGAGAAAGAAGTGGTCAGGTGCGAGTTCGTTGCAAGCAAGGTGAAGAAGGAACAGAACTAAATTTGGATTGCGTTCAGTAGTACAATAGGAAATAGTTATGAACGTATCCACGTTCAAGTACAACACAATATTGCGAACTGACAGGTTCCAGGTTATGGTCGGTCCATTTTCTGTTTCCGTTTCCCGAGTTTGTGATTCTGACGCTGTCAGCTGCTCGGGCCCAGATAGCGTAGTGGCTTTCTGAGGCTGAGCGACATCGTCTTCCTGCAAAGCAGCCTTCTCTCCTCAAGCACTCACGTACGAAGCATAAACATGATTCGCCTTCCTTCTCCGGCTTAAGTAACAGACAATGGTAGTTCAATTGTGACTGGTAATCCAAGTGATGTTTTGAATATGCATCCGCATCACAATGTCAGTCATTCAACTTTAATACATTTATCGCGGTACCCCTCTTTAGTTGTAGCTGCTCTTCCATTGTTAGGATATCCAAGTCTGTGAGGCTGTTGACCCATTGCTGTCCTTCACTGATTAGAGCGAAGGGGTAATCAATCGAATGCATAATCCTATCCAAACCTATCTGGGACTTGTGGAATTGCAACAACGACGTTGCAAAGTTTCCAGCAGTCGTCTCGAACAAATTCGTGAGCCAATACGAGGAGGCATTCCGCTGCATGGGAATTCCCAGGGGAACTTGGCGAAGGAGTTCTTTATAAACAGATGAGTCAACACCGTGAAAGATAGCATACCATTACAAGACTCACGTTCATCAGTTCTGAATAAGTCCGAGGGAAGTCTCTCCCCGAGATGGCCAACAATGATTTTGAGAGTTGGGAACCGGCTGTCCAGATTTGTGTTACCCGCACATGTATGCAAAACGCAAATGGAAAGTGTGCTTACTCGAAAACCCCGTTTGTGCATAATCCCAATATATGCGTCGATAACGTTGCTGCAAATTCTTGGGCAGGGCCTTCCAGACCGAAGCCGTGGGCATAAACGAGCGATAAAATAGGTTCGACGTTGGTTCTAGGGTGAAGGTACACCGGAACGTCCAGGTCCGTCACCATCTGCCAGAATACGTCGTATTCCGGCTGATCGTAGTATAAGAGCGTGTCTACATACACATTAGATACCTCGTGTGATGTGGAATACCACAAAGGAGACATACCATCGTTCGGTCCCGACTGTTGATAATCATTGAGCAATGCCCCGAGGAAACCCAGTTCCGTGACGGTCCGGTTGAGTTCCTGAGCAGCTACAGAGGCGTTATGCATAGCCAAGGCCGCGAAAGCACCAAATCGCAGAGTATTGTTCGAAATAAGATCCGCTAGATTGTTGTTGAGATCTACAGCCATTGTGGCGGCTGTTTCCGGATCGGATATTCCTTGGATGCAAGGTTGTACACAAGAGAGAACCATCTGAGTGGCAAGTGCACAGTTAGCGGGAGAGTTCCCGAGGACGGAGGCGTCACTTACGAAGTCAATACCGAATTCATCCATAAGCGCGAGTCTGTGATTGTGAACATCAACCAGATTTGCTTGAAGTTCTTCGATAGTTTTGCCTGTCATAATATTCATTCAAGTTGGCTGCATACACAAAGGGGTATGAGACTCACCAAGAGCCGGTGCACCACTGTAAGCGTACTTTCAAATCAAAATTTGCGACATCCTGTCAGGAAGTGATACTCACCCTACAGTGACCGCAATTTCAGGAGTCGACCACGCCTCTTCGAAGACGATAGAGCCTACGCCGGTATCATTCCATAGCCTAGCGTGAACGACAGACACCGAGGTAAGAGCAAGTAGAACGAAACGCTTCATTCCGTAGCAGCGATAAGACGAGAGATCCTGATGACTCCAGCGCTATATATACTACGCCCGGGAGAGGACAGAAGATAAGAATAACACGATAAAAATAACACCCTATAAATAAGTTCTCTCACTAACAGGTTCATGAATACTCCGTCAGAGGACACGTCTTATTCATTGCTTACCTTGCGCGTCACGAGAGGCAAGCTGAAGAAGAGCCCGCGTTATCGGGTTCGACAGACTCGATAGATACCCTCACCATTGGGAAATCCCTCTTCATTTCTGCGCTATCATGCTTGGGATTTCAGGGTTAGACATGTCAGGACAGCTGCCGGTTGAACTATAGAACAGACGCGTACCTTTTTCAATTCTGCATGAACCCCAAACTACGTGAAAATCAAGAATGCTCGGCGCGGCCGCATATATGCGGGTCTCTGGAACCAATTTCATCACCCGCCGCGAGAAAGGGATCCCAGAATATACTCGTTGTATGTTCCCATAAATGCTCCTTATGTAACGTAATCCACGAGACGCTGTCAACAAAAATGGATGCGACATCCAGGAGTGAATCTTCTCATCATACGCTTGTAGTGATGCGTCAATGACGTAGATGAAGGAAACATAGCCCTACGCAATGGTCTTATGAACCGGAAGATGCTGTCGATCTACACAAGGGATTATAGCCATATAACGTTGAATAAAATGGACGAAATTGTCTGACCTTCATCGACAGAAATATTCCAGGTAGCATATTGGTTTTAAGAAAGTGAATCCTTTCGCCGGGAAAAGGAAGAAAGGCATTCGTCCGTGGGAAAATACATGCTCCTTCGAATTCCTCTTCCGGGTCTTTCCGGGTCTTCCCTCTTCAATTCAGTAGAGCATGCAGGCGATAGATGACGTTCGACTGGACACCCCCGGCGGAGGTGCGTACTCGCGCCTTCGATCTAGAGATTCCACAGGCTGAAAAGTCGCAGATCGTCCTCTTGCACGCCTCGTGAACGCGTCCGGTGAATCGAACATGGATGAACCCTTCACACGTGTTTGGACTCCGATGTTCCTGTACTGATCATTTTCCATGTTGAAGATAGTGCCACGAGTCTTCCACCCAACTGCATTGTTCTCAATCGACCCTTTTCTCTTGACCGCGCCGTGCTACGTTCCTCATCTGGTCGTGTCCTCCTCATCACCGTGTTGCTGGGGAAATGCGGGGCGTAGGAAATTTACGCTTCCTCTCTTCTGTCTATCCCTTCGCTTCGGGTCTACACGTAAGCTATAGTTCCTTCTCACCCAGTGATGTGTGATAGATCTCCGCTTTTAGACTGAGATGATCCTCACGCGCCACGACTGATGGCATTTCGATTCGGCGCCGATTTCTTTTCAAGCTCTTCATGGATCAATCAAGTGTCTACGGTTTCTCGGCCATCAGGATCAGATGCAAGAGCGATCTCGATTCTCTGTAAACACGCGTCTTTGCATACTCTTCATCGTTGAATTTGTTGTCTCAATTTCTGCCCTAATCACCCGGTCCCAGAGTTGTTGTCTACAATCATTCAGAGCTGGCTTTTCCATGCACACGCCCATGCATATACGGCAGTATCCCAGCGACTCGGTTACAAATCTACTCTTGCTCAATTAATATCCCCTGACGACGTACGCCAAAGACTGAACACCATCTCCATTATTCCTGACATTCACTTTGCAGCTGTCTACTGTTTAACAGGCATCCATACTAACCGCTCCTGGCTCAGTTGGCAGAGCACTCCACTTATCTTCTTCAAGGGTTCATGGAGGTCAGTCGTTCAAATCGGCTAGCGGGAACTTGTGCTGATCGAGCGTTCTGTTTTAACAGGAGGGCCGGCCCGAAGCTGTTACCGAGATCCGACTTTCGAGTCCTGGCTCTGATACGGATAGAAGCGCGGATGTGGTCGCTCGCAAGCTTTAACAACACATGCGTCTACCGTATCTCTGTGCCCCAATCGCTGAACACGTTGAGTACCTTCAAGAAGACCATGCAATGATGAAAATTAATTTTGTTGTGTCGTAACTTCCCGTAAAAAGAATGGACAATCGGCCGACGAAGAAAGATATAATACCTATTGTCAGACGAGAATACTAATATGACAAAGCCGGCGAAGGCAAATGACACGTTCAAGGCACTATTTTGAAGTTTGAGAGATCGACGCGTTGAGGTCACATGTACCGTGCAATTGCCCGTGGGAAAATGGATGCCGTGGTCTCGGGCCTCGGCACCACTGTATCTGCTCTTCGCAAACGTCTTTTTTTCTGTTGTGCGCTCTCTTCGATTTCCTTGACATCCAGAAGGACTCGACTAGCCGAAAACTCCGAGTAGTAGCTGTTTGAGGCAAATATTACTAGATTTGGGGGATTGGCAAAGTATGGCTTACGGAAACACGGAATGGAGGCGCGTGAATTGTGCTTTCGATGCTGACGTAGTACTGACTTTGGCTGTCTCGATCAACTCCTAGTCTCTATGTCCAATGAATCGCATAATTACAATAGCCGTGAGAATTCCCTCAAGTGACGTGTACTGACTAACAACCGCGCTGGGACTGTAGCTATCGATGGGGAGGTTCCGGTTTGAAATGCAGTCGTTTGTTTCGCTTTGGCGTCTGGTCACTTTCGTATTTCTAGTCGCCATTGTATTCAGAAGTTCAATTAATCGTCTTTTCTCCAAGACACTGCGACCCTAATTCACGTTCATCGGTATTTCCATGAATCATTTCTATGCGACGCCTGACTGCTGCGCCTTTTTACGCTAAATTCACTGAAAGGGTTAAACGTTCCCATCACTTTTGAAATGTACCAGTTTCCGACGATAGTGCTCTTAAAACTAACTTGCTTGTCTGCCACGGCGTAGGGACGGACGGGAATACAAGTTAGCCACTGACCACGACCCAGGTTCACTCCCAAGTTTCGGCTCACGGGACAACATGGGATATGGCTTGATAAAGCTGAACTGGGGGAGTTTGTTGTAGCGTGATGGTGTTATGGTCTAGGACCTTGGCTCTTGCTGGTTCGAATCCAGCTCATACTATTTCGGTATTCGATACAGTTTTTGTTAGGTAACATGTTGGTGTTCTTAGCTGACTTCCTGCTCTAATGAACCGCATTGATGGCCTTTCCTCTTTTCGTATTTGCATTGTGAAAATCATCTCAGTCGAAATTGGAAGTCTTGTTATCAAGTCATCACTTTCATGAGCCATCTTTCCTCACGAGCTCATGGGCATCCTTCTACTATTGATTGATACATCACTCTTACTACAAACATCAGTCAGAGCCGACACCTGCATGATTCAGGGCGTCGACCTTCAATATCCTGGTCAAGTGCCGCGACGGACCTTCACCATATCATGATGCGAACACGGAAGACGTTTGTATAAATGGACGAAGATGGAATAGCTGGAGATCCGAGGAAATGGGCACTCGTGGCTGAGAATGTGATCTTTAGATGTAGGCACATCGACCTTGGGTAGACTGGTGATCATCTCTCTGAAAAATGTAGTCATTCTAAGCAGAAAGAAACATTTTTTCTCGCTTGCAATGCTAAGCCGTAAGAGAGATGGTTGCAAGTCTACTTGGTGATTATTACTCCAGGAACTTCATCGAAAATCGGCGAAATTGTACGTGAATTTCTTGATTTTTCATTACAACAGACTAATAATATAAAGATATAATTACGATGCCATGGTAAGGAGTAAGTAAGCTAGTAGGGAATGTAGTACGGGTGGTATCTATACAGGGAAAATGTATATATATAAGGGAGTATAACGTACGGGCATAAGGATGGATATCCAATACAGACAAGACAGATACACTAAGGCGGATTCTAGTCTTCATGCTAGAAGGATGTCCTTTCATTGTTACGTGGTGTGGTCGATATTTCAATCTAGCGATTTGTCCGCGCATGAATCACGATCAATGACATTCATTCAACACATTTCACAATCGTTATTGGATATGTACTTAGACAACACCTGATTCCACCTTTTCCGTCGGCCCTGTGTCTTCTGTTGACTGGGAACTGGTATCTCGTAACATAGTTGTCGGGATGCTCATATCAGTTGAAGATGTATAAGTATCCCGTCCGCCCATGATTCGCATCCTCGAGTTCAGAACCATGAAGACAGTGTTAGCATACAGCTTGGGTATGAGTAGAGCTGGTGTGGTGTAATAAGTCTGATGAGGGAACAAGAAGAAGAGGGCGACAGTGGCCAGAGCGACGGCAGCTCAATGTACGCGGTGTTCATTTCGTGAAAACGACAGATGGTGGAGCACGTACCTGTCACAGATCCGGTCTCAACGGTGAGACGAATTAACTTTGTGATCAAGAGTTGAGTGCGTCGGAAATTGGTACTGCTGCGCATGAGCTACGAAAACAGTATTGTCGTCAATGAAGATGGCTAGAAGTGAGAACTTTGCTCACGTAGTAAGTCATACATATAGCGATAACAATATCACATAAAGCAGAGGCACCGCACCAGATCTACACAAGGATTAGCACACTGAACATGAGACATCAGGCTATATTTACCCCGACTGCAATATTGATTTTCGTCTTATTGAGTTCGATAAGATTACCCGCTTCGAAAGAATAGACGCCTGTAACGATAGATGCTGCAGTGCTGGTCAACGATAACTGTACACAGCTGAGTCAGACTTCCACGGAGAAGGAGTACTGCGACGAACACAGGTAACAAATATTGGGATGATTTGCGACTTTGACAATATGAAGATTCGAAACCCATAGAAAACCTGGCCGACACAAGCAACTGTACCCAGGTAAGTAATGGAAACCTTGTAAAATATACTGCGCCTACCAATGCCGCTCATAATAGGGACAGCGAACCAGTTAAAATGCATGTCCGTGGCGGCGATGAGGTCCCCGAAGCCGTAACCGAACACTGCAAAGGCGTCGTGGGTGACGAACATCGTCTGGACGATCTCGACGATGTAGATGCCATAGACGATGTACTTTGTAAAATTTTTGTCGTTTGGAAATGCCAGATAGTACAGATCTAACGAGAATGGGTTAGAAGTCGTATTGTTTGAAGATCATTTCCGTACAAAGTTGCACAGATAGAGTCCCAAAGAGTCCCCAGTGCAAGAGGGAGGCGACGATCTAGGTTGTCATCATGATGAGAGGGATTGAGTGGATGAAACCAACCAACCAACCAACCATTGGTCCAGTCCTGAGATACAACGATTCAGTACATACAGTGTCTTGATTTCACAACGATAACTTACAGTTTTTATATGGGATAATCTGGGGGGACGGGGAGCTTGAACATCCTTTGTCCTAGGGTTGTTCTATCGGTTGATGGGAATGCACCTGTGTATATATGCGATGTGAAAGCAGCCCGAGAGAAAGAAGACGCCGGAATACCCACATTCCAGCTAAACGAAGGCTCATCCGTGATCAGCGCATGGATTCCATCAAAATTTTATGAAAATCCGCAAACCGCGGTTCGGAGGAACTCTCCCTGATATGTAGTGAGACGTCCGGCGCCTTGATCTTCATTCGTACCACTGCTCCCCAGAATAAACTCTGACACAGGTACATATACCCTCATGTAGAAACGAGTGGTAAAATTTCGACCGAGTTTCTTAACTACAGAAAAGATGTCGTGTTCACCACTGGATGTCGGAGTTACGATGTGTTTTGCTTTGGTCAAAATCTGGGTCAGAATTTCGTATGATCGACCCATTTTAGCCACTTTGGCCTGAATAAATATAGCTGCTTACCAGGAATCCTGATTCCCCCTTACACGGAAAATCTTCTTGATCTTCCCCAGCGTCTGATTTGCGTCTGATGGTCTGCTGATTTCCAAAAGTCCCGTAGCTCAGAATATGGTTAGCAATCTCTCACCTTCGAGCCTTTCAACTATACTTCAAACATTTGTACTTCGAACACCAAAAAGGAGGCCAAGTCCGACTGAGCCGCAACTCGAGGGCTTGTCGCATCTGAGTAAAAATGCAGCAATGAGAAAACGATACGCCATGTACCGAGATAGATACACAGATATGTCCACGGGGTCGACGAAATGACCATGGGGTCAACATGAAGTGCGAGCCGATGCAAGGGTAGCAAGACAGAGTCCCCTGGTAGTTCGGGGAAGTCTATTAACAGCATCCGTTCCTGATAGACGGACAAACGGCACAGCTAGAAACCGGCAGATCGATACACATGAGGTGACGAGATGCCACGTTGCGATCAACTTGGAAATGAAACACTGACGCCAGACAAGTATGAGTACTGCTCGATTAACACGAGACGGAGATGCACCCCAACAGAGAAACGCAAGAAGAATTCCGATCATCAGATGTGAGAGCAAAATAAGGCAGCGTCTATGGCGATGCACTACTTTAGCGACAGCATGAAGCTGAGATAGAAGATACGATCTCTGCACAGAAAGAATACTGAGCGTCCAGATTTGGAGGAATGCAGTGGTCATTCGTTGCAGAATCAATGAACGAGTTGACCAAGAACAGGTATGCAGAGACACTGAAGCACTGACAGACGAGCATGGAGAGCTACTCTCATCTGAGATGGAGAATACGGTGACGTCCTGTCGGACGAACCGTAGATCCGCAAGCGTACACATGTACCTCATGCCATGCAAGCTCGGAGACCGGGACCTTGGCTAGGTTATCCGGCAGAAGAGACGACATTGTGATACTACTCACCTGACAGTGTTGCCGAGAAACGTTGAAGGCAAAATTTTGAAGTTTGTGACGCATTGAGATCACATGCATCCGTGGGAAGTTTTTCTGAGGTGCCGACATAACCGTTTGTGGA